TGACTTGCCTACATTCCCATGGTTAGAAAGGGGTGAAGCTGAGAATAGAATCTCTTCTTATGATTCTTGGTATAATGGTCTATCCTCTATACCCCCTGGAATAAGAGGCAAGGCAGATTTTACAGTATATTCAGAATAGCATCAGGAGACTAGCACAGTACAGGGCAAGACTGAACAATGAAAAACAAAAGAGTGAATTTTAGATTACTGTGAAAGAGATCTTAGGAAAATTATTCTCAATACAAGGATGAAAAAACTGTCCTTTCTCTAGGATTAAAAAAAGCCATAGAAAATTAAATTTATGAGGGGACCCGTTTGTTTAGTTTACGGCATACTTCTTTAGCATCTATTATGTGCATCTAAGAACACAAGAAAGGCATTTCATAGTTACAGGGAAGCTAGCACAGGTAAGAATGGTATGTTGTGTACCCCAAAGGGTATGGACTTCTTCAAATTTAGAACATATGAGGCCAGTGATGGGGGAACCCTCATAGAATAAATAATAAATCACTGCCATTTAAGAGTCTCATCCCATTATGTCAGGAAAATCCTAGGTGGTGGGATGCTTCATTTTAGTGTGGTGTGCAAAGAACCTGGTGATCTACTACTGGAGCAACAATGCACATTCCTGGGGCTTGGGCTGCCTACAAAAATAGCAGTGAAGGCCGTGTGTTTAAGGTGAGTATGCACATCCCGCCCTGAAATGCAAAGCTGCAACCGTAAGTGGATAAGCACTCTGGGGATTTATTTCTGTTTCAGTGTGTTTTAGTAAACCAGTTATGGGAACAGTAACTAATATCAGCTGTGGATTATATCCCTAAACCTCATTCACTGACCTTAAGAGTCTAACTTCCAAATTTAAATGGCATCGTCAAGTAGTCTAGGCTCCAAATTTAGAGATCAACAGGGTAATTTTGGATGGCATGTTTTGGTGGAGGGGGCTGGTTGATCAAACCCTTTTAAAGCTCCTTTCTACTTAGCTCAGTTTTTAGAGAGAACAGATGGAGGCACCAGGATAAGCTATTATAGAGCTTATGTGACCCATGTAAAGGGCCAACAGCTATAAAATCTACCAGTTTGTTAAAGAAATATCGCAGCTGACAGAAAGGCGAAGAGAATACTGAACTAGCTGGCTGCCATAGAGGTGTCCACATCCTGAAATTTCTTTTCCATATTAAAAAGTGGACAGTAGGTTCTTCATGGTAGAGAGGGTGCTAAAGACATGCCAAAGGGCTCTTGAGACCCAGTGCTTCCAAATCCTTTTCTCTGGTGCCAATGACGACATCTCTGATTCCCTGGTGTGCTTTTGTGAAGCAATTCAACAACCTGCTTCCCAGCAGGACCCTAGAAACCATCCCCACCATGTAAGACATTTTTCGAAGCGCTCTAAAGGGGTTGATGCACCACCTTATTGTCTCTGTAACATCTAGTATTTATTAAACACTTCCCTGTCAGGAGAGATCTGATCACAGTCATCTTCCTATTGGAGAACAATTGCCAGGGTTCCTACATCTTCTGTTATACTAACTCAGTGATGCCATTCTAAGTAATAAAGTTGAGTATCTTCTTTGCTACAAAGGGCAGTAAACTCTAATTCTGAGGTAGCACAGTGATACAGCAATGAGGGTCGTTGGAATTTACCCTTTGATCCTACATAGCTATCGCCTTTAAAATTGCTAATTAACTGGCTAAAACATTGAGTTGAAACTTAAGCATCCTTTTTTTCCAGAATTGTTGGTCACACAGGTAATGAGGGAAGAGTATATTACTGCTATAGAACAGCCTCGATAATTTATCTGACAAAGTACAGCAACTAAAAAAAAAGGAAACAAACACACAAACAAGAACCAGAGCCAGTGTAACATAAATCATAAAGTGTCTTTGGTATCTTATTAGAAATCTATGTTAATATTCTTTCTCCTCTCCCCTTGAAGTTTAGGTTGGAAATGTATACTATTTATTTTAATACTTATGCCACTCTTTCCTAATATATGACAAGTTTGTAGTGTTTTTTATACCTGTGACACACCTCTAATATTCCAGAACACATAGTGAAACACTCTCCTTAAGGTGTGAGGGTGAGTGATGGGCATTTGCACGTGTAACTGTGATCCCCCATCTCGGCGCACTCCACGGTAATCACTATCATCAGTCTCAGTGATGGGAAATTGGCAAACGGAGACGCGAAAGCACAAGACAAACATTGGTAGGCACGAAACTGTTGCAGGATGTCCTGGTAGATAAGTCACTGTACTATTTGCTTTTTAGCATCTCTTTACTCTTGACGACCAAGTAAAGTAGGGGAGGAGGGATAAAGAGTGTGAGGGTTTAACACACGTGCCATATTGAAGTGGTTTGTTTTATTTTTTTTCAAGTTTTCAAATTTTTCACCTGGCTTTTAAGAGCAGGAGTTATTTCATGGTGATTTTCCAGCAGGCTTTTCTGAGGTAGATAAAGCAGATGATAAGTAGTCTGAAGAATGCAGAAAGGTAGGTAAAGCCTGTGTGGATGGGATTAGTTTTAAAGAAATTTCAGAAGTGAAAGCTGAGCTTGTTATGTACAATACTAGAGAAGAGGGGGACAAGGCTAAAGGCTGTATACCATTTAGATGGGGTTTTGGGAATTTAATAGGTGGGAAATAGGCTAATCTGGCAGGTAAAGAACAGGACTGTGGGAGCCATGACAGAGTAAAAGAAGAACTTGTGTTACACACAGTAGTCGAGAGTAGGCAGACGACAGCAAGAAATATGTATCCCTAAGGACCCTGGTGATCAAGAAGGAGCGTATGTCACACTAACACAAGGATCTGAAAGCAACCAAAAGGCTTGAAGGTTTAAATTGTCTTTTGTGTTGTTGTTTTTTGGATAAAGAACCAATTTTGCCTCTTTCCTCAGGCCTCTGTTTGTACACAGGTATTGTAATCACATTAAGTATGTCAGGGAAATCCAAATCCCAGCTAAATAATTACTGAAATGGATTGTGAACTCGTTTTTCTGCCCGTTTGAATTACAGATGAACAGGCTGGCCTGCCTGAGACCCAGCGAGGTTAATAGGACCAGCTGGGGACTTTCTTTCTGGAGAATCACTGCAGTCATCACAGGCAGATGCTGTACTCTGAAATGCACATGCCATTGTAGGCCAAATGTTAGTAGTTAAACACCATCGTCACAGAAACACACAAAGCTATGGTCAAGTTCACAAACACAGCTGGTGGTTAAGAAATCCTTAATGAAGGGAAGAAATTCGCTATTGGCTTTAAGTCATTCATCAAGACTTCCAATACACTTAGACTGGGACTGTTTTATATGAGAGAGAATAAAATACCTATTGGCCTCAGTTTCTCTCCCCAATCTAAGAATAAACATTTGTTAGAATACCCATTGGAGAAAGGGAAGCATCACACATAATGTTCTCGTGGGTTGATGTAGACTCTCTCAGGGTCCTTGTTTTGATGATGTTTGCCAGGGCTCCGGTCGTGGTAGCACATCTGATTACAAAGGGGGTACATCTGCTGAATCCCATCTTCCCCTGCTGGATTCTCATCTTCATAGTCACATCTCCTGCTATTTAGTCCATTCTAAAAATTCAAACATTGCTTA